AAAAAAAAAAAAAAAAATGACATTGTTACAAATCAATATTAAAAAAATGGCAAAAGTAGGTAATTATTTTAATTGTAAAAAATGTTCAAGGTCAAAAATGCAAATAAGGAGAATTAGTTATCTTTTCCTGTTTGTCATATTATCGAGCTATTAAAAATATCAATGTTTACTATATATAGGTTTGAAATTCATAGCAAATAATGAAATATAAAATCGGCCAAAAAAAGCATGTAAAAGAAATATAAATAACCGTATAAAACCACAAACTATACATATGAAAACAAGCTATTTTTCACTTCCCAAATTAGTAAAGATTTTATTACATTAAGTATGAAATGTCTAATTTCCTTAAGTACTGTTTGGCACTTGGTATCTCTGACATTTCACTTTGATAATTTTTTTTTTAAATGATGAAGGTATATCCTCATTCTTTCAAAGGCATGTTTTAGCTTGTATTTATGTTTTTTTTTCAGACAAGAGTCTTATTTTGTATACCCTCAGTAGAGTGCAGCGGCATCATAGCTCATAGCAACCTCAAACTCTTGGGCTCAAGTGATTCTCTTGCCTCAGTCTCCCAAGTAGCTGGGACTACAGGTGCCTGCCACAATGCCTGGCTATTTTTAGAGATGAGGTCTTGCTCTGGCTCAGGCTGGTCTTGAACTCGTTAGCTCAGGCGATCCACTCACCTCAGCCTACCAGAGTGCTAGGATTACAGGAATAATTATCTTTCAAATTTTTTTTAGTGCAGTGTTTGTGAAACCATGGATAGGTCAAGAATTCATGTTCCTTTTGAACATTAGTTCCATCAAGGAACCAATCAATGTAGCACAAGCATCTTGACATGTCAATGAAGTGTTCTGAAAGATGTTGACTAATGAATGCTCAGTATGTGGATGTTTGAGAAGTTCCATTCTTCTTTGTTTGGAGACAGAGTCTCACTCTGTTGATCTGAGTCATAACTCACAGCAACTCCTGGGCTAAGGTGATCCTCTTGCCTCTGCTTCTTAAATAGCTGGGACTATAGGTATTGGCCATTATGCTTGGCTAATTTTTCTATTTTTAGTAGAGATAGAGTCTTGCTCTTGCTCAGGTAGATCTCAAACTCCTGAGCTCAAGCAATCCACCCACTTTGGCTTCCCAGTGTTAGGATTACAGGTGTGAGCTGCTATGCCCAGCTGGTAATTTTAATCTTGACAATGAGCTATGTAGGCAACCTAAGACCAAGGTGAATAATAAGGAGCTGAAAGTTATAGTGGAAGTGAATCCATCTCATCCTATACATGAATTAGGAGCAAGGTTTTGTTGTTTTCTGAGACAGTCTAATTTTGTCACCTGCCGAGGCCTCATAGCTCACGGCAACCTCAAATTCTTGGGCTCAAGCAATCCTCTTGGCTCAGCCTCCCAACTAGCTGGGACTACAAACACCCACCACAGTGCCTAGCTATTTTTAGAGATGGGGTCTTGCTCTGACTCAGGCTATTCTCAAACTCCTGAGCTCAGGCAATCCACCCACCTCAGCCTACCAAGTGCTGGGATTACAGTCATGAACCACCGTGTCTGGCAGCAATGTGTACTTTTAAAACTATATCCCAAGAAAATGCTTTAAGTTGCTGCCTCTGAGCTTGGAGATCAGGGCTATTACTACTCTGCCTTTTCTAAACTTTTTTTTTTTTTGAGACAG